CCTTCTCCTCCTCATGTGTCTCATATATAAGATACCTTCCTTCTTCTCCCTCCTCCTTCCACCCCCCTCCCTCCTTCCTCTTGTGACTCCTCCTTTCTCTCTTCCTGATTCGCCTGCTTCTCTTCCATCCTTCTGTATCCTGCCTTTCCTCAGCCCTATCCCTCCTTCCCTCTCCCTCCTGAGAGGAGGGATGTAGGACGGAGGATTAGGGTGGGGAGGAGGACGAGCACGAGGGCGGCGACGACGAACGACGACCGACGAAAGACGGCGGCGGCGCCGTCGACGGCGACGAAGATGACGACCGACGGGCACTGCCTGCGAGGATCTGCGCTCCTGACACGAAGGCGCCCGAGCAGATGGACTCGCCGGGCGCCGCCTGGTGGCCCGCGTCCTGGTGCATCCCCAGCAACTTCCAGCACTCCATCTGGCTCCCGTCGTCGTCTCGACGGAGAAAAACAGCTTAAGCATGAATTGTTGGAGCTCCGCGCGGGTCTCTTGGATCGGTGCTCAGGCCCCTTGGCGGCGTTTCCGGCGCAAGCCCTGGCACGCTCCGCGCACCAGAGAGGGGGTGCCCAACGCCGTTCCAAGAAATCCACGCGGATCTCCGAGAGTTCATGTTTGTATATATTCTCAGAATATCCTAAATATGGGGTTCTTGTCATTATTCGGACGCTTCAGCCTCACTCACTCACTCCCGCCCCTTTATCCTTCTCATCACACTCATTTCACTCATTCTCAGACCTACTCAAACTCAGCCTCGGTCAGACTCAGACTCACTCAGACTTAGGCTCAATCAGACCCCGACTAACTCACAATCAAAACACACAGCTCACACTCAGGTCACTCATACTCAGGCCCACTCGCATTCACACTCAGGCTTACGGTGGTGGCGGAATGCGTCCAGGATGCCCCAGACCTTGAAGGATTCCTTCTCTGATGAGGGCGGCAGTGACATCCATGGCCAAGCATCACCTGCCGTTCCACCGGCTTTCAGCCCCTGGACTCCTTCTCATCCAAGGGTTCCTGATCCAATGCCCTCACCGTAATCTCCCGAGCGAGGTGACTGCTTCAGGACCCCAAAGTGGAGCCGCCGGGGGCATCGCACTCGCCGGTTGGTGGCCAGATTGTGTGGACGTCTCGGGCGGTCTGCTCGGTTCGAGCAGAGACACCTCTGCGTTCAGAGCTGATCGTAGGGACGTCCCAAGCGAGGCGCTTGTTGTCAGCGCCACACGGAGGTGCCGCCAGGGGGCACTACACTCGCCTGGTCGTCGCCAGACTGGGGATGTCTCAGGTGGTGTGCTCGTTTCGTAGTTTTGGCCCCCTTCTCTTTCGGAGCAGATCGTGGGGATGTCCCGAGCGAGGCGTTTGCGTCAGCACCCCAACGGGGGACCCGCCAGGGAGTATTGCATCCGCCCGTTCGCGGCCGGATCGTCGGGAAGTCTCAGGCGGTCTCCTCGCGTCTTGTCCCAGATCCCGCTGCTTTCAGAGCAGATCGCGGGGAAGTCCCGAGCGAGGCCCTTGTTTCAGCACCCCAGGGGGGCGCCGCCAGGGGGCATTATACTCGCCCGTTCGCGGCTAGATTGTGGATGTCTCTCAGGCGGTTTGCTCGTTTCCAGGCCCATATTCCCTTGCGTTCACGGCAGATCCTGAGGTTGTCCCGAGCGAGCCGCCTGGGGAATCACACTCGCCTATTCGCGGCCAGATTGTGGGGATGCTTTTTGCTCGTGTCGTGGCCCAGCCTGCTTTGCGTTCAGAGCAGATCTTGAGGATGTCCCGAGCGAGGCGCTTTTTTCGTGGCTGGAACCCTTTCTGCTTCTATAGCAGATTGTGAGGGTGTCTCGAGCGACGCTGGCTTCAGCACCCCAGGCAGCCAGGCGCTCGGTTTTGCATCTCCGAATGCTGTCCACTAAGAGGCCCATGATGATCGATTCGATGCAGGGAGACGGGCGGCCGCCAGGACGGAAGAGAGAGGACCGAGGAGGAAGGAGGAACTGGGAAGAGGGAGAAGGGAGAGGGAGGAAGAGCAGGGGGGGGTACGACGAGGAGGACGAGGAAGGAGAGGGGATGGAGCCTGCTCACCGCCAGTCTGTCTGTGAGTTGTCGTCGTCGATGTCCCTCATCGTAGCCGCCGCCGTCGTCGTCGTCGTCGTCGTCGTCGCCTTCGTCGTCCACCGGGACTCGCTCTCACACCAGAACGTTCACGGCCAGATACTCACAGCGGTACGTGCCACGAAATGAGATGCACAGATGGGAATAGTCGCATCGATTAGTTGATCCTCTATGTCGCCGTCCCAGACGTCGGGCGATGTTCGTTTCGTTTTTCCTTCGTTTCTGTTTCTGGTGGCCGCCCTCAGGCTTCAACATCCTTCAAAAGGGGATCCTGGGCGCATAGCTACCGCCGGGAAGGGGGGTGGGGATCTCTGTCGGCGCAGATTACACAAATAATGTCGTCGGACGTCAGGGTCGTAGTCGTCGTGGACCGAGGTTGAGGTCCGAGTCAGTCGAACGCTTTGGGGACTTTGGGGTTCTTTGGGAGGCCTGCGGGAGGCTTCTCGTCGCCATGATTGGATCCGCTTTGAAATCTTGCGCGTTCGCTAGTTCCGAGGTCCAGGGATCGATTGTTGAACCAGGGGTCGTCGTTCGTCGTATGTGGGGTGGCCCAGCCGACTTTCGTTGCCCGTCTCTGCCTGGTCTCCTACCACAGGACCCCAGGCCTGTGCAGCCCAGACTCGGGCTTGCAGGTTTTGAAGCCTGCAAGGGAATACTTGCAAGGGGTCCAGCGATGACCCGAGACCCAGGCCTCCGATGCCTTGATTTTCGGCGGCGAGCCCAGGGGGGAGTCATAGGGGGCGGGCCTCATCAGAAGGCCCGGAAGTCCCCCAGCCTTCTGAGAAGTTTCCTGAACGTTCCCCGAAGACACGGACAATTTCTCAGAAAGCCAGAGGGCTTCTCAGAAACCCCGCCGCCTTCTGAGAAGGCCTTCTCTTCTTCGTTTCCCCCCTCGCTCGCCGCGGCCATGTGTTCAAACAGGGGCTCCCAGACCTCTCCATGGGCTCTCGGTGCGGCAACTTCCTGGGGACCGTGTGTTCGTCCCAGAGAGTCTGTGGACGGCCCTGGAGTTCGAAACCGGCACACTGACCTTCTGCTGCATCTTCGGGGGACCTCGCCTGTCCCCAAAATTGGTGTCTTTTTGCGGGCCCGGCGCGTGCTCGATGCGGACTCGACGCGGATTTGGCGTGGATTCGACACGGATTCGACACGGATCTGACGCGCCCGACATGGATTCGACACGGATTCGACGCGGACAGGGCCGCGACGGGACAGACAAGGTCCCCCGAGGATGCAACATAACACTGACCGACGCCGCAAGCAACGAAGATGGGGGAGGTGAAGAAAAGGGCCCCATAGGGCCTTTTTGGCCCCTGTTGGGCCCCTGTTGGTTCCAGCAGGGGCCCTAAAGGGCTTCTTTGGGGCCTTTTTCTTCACCCCCCAAGCTAGGTCACCCCCCACTACAAGCCGCCCGCATGGTTTTGCCATGACAGCGGAGGCTTGGGGATATTATCGCTCACCGCTCCAGAAGGTCGTATATAGCCTGGCCTGGTCGTTAGTGCAGGTCCCGGGTCCCAGAAGGGTGGCGCTGGCCTGGCGCTCGTGTGTGGCGAGCCCCCCCCCCGCGCGCCCCGGGGGGCGCGTGGGCCCGCTCGCTTGCACGTTCACAGGCTGGTGGTGCACTCCCAGACATCCGGCGGATGGGTTGTTTCAAGTCTGACGTTCTCGCTCGAGTTCAGCGTCTTGGGCTGCTTTCGGGCCTGAGGCCATCAAACATGGGCCCGGGACGACGAGCTGCCCCGGGGAAGGGACCGCCGATTGGGAAAAACATGTCGTGGGATGTTTGGGTTTGTGGGGCTGTTACGAGCGAAAATCGGCCAGCGCACCACCTCCCTGGTCACCCGGTGTCTTGGCAGATGTCCCAAAACTCAAGCAGTGACGAAGCGTCCTGGTTTGCCGATTGGCCCAGCAAAAGCACTTTTCGCTGCCAGAGTTGAAAGCGATTGAACCAGTTCTTGCTGAGACAGTATTGTTTCAGACACCCGTTTTATGTTCTACGTGCATTGGCGTTGCCATCCGAACGTTACTTCGCTGTACGAGCATGTCGTGGTAGTCTAGTGACAGGAGCATCAGGAGCGTCAGTCTCGCTAGACAGACAGTTCTTGCACTCTGGGGCACGTGGCGCTGTCACCTACTACGTGATTTGGGTCCTCTGGGCGCCCCGTGGGCGCGTGGTCGCCCCTCGCGCGCTCGCCGTGGGCGCGCCCGGTGCGTCGCCCTGGTTCTCCATGCTCCGCCCAGCTGCCGCCTGTGGGCGCCTCGTGGGCGCCCTGTGCGTCGGGCGGGTGCTCGCCTGGCGCTCGCCCGGTGGGCGCCTGGTGGGCGTCCGCTGCGACTGCTGCGCCGTCTGCGCTTTGCCCTGCGGGGCGCCCACGGCTTACGTTGCATCTTCGGGGGACCCCGCCTGTCCCCAAAATTGGTGTCTTTTTGTTGTGCCTGGCGCGGGCTGGATGCGGCCTCGATGCGGATTTGGCGGGCATTCGACGCGGATTCGACACGGATTCGACACGGATCCGACGAGGCCGACATGGATTCGACACGGATTCGACGCGGATAGGGTCGCTACGGGACAGACGAGGTCCCCCGAGGATGCAATGCAACATGGCTGCCCGGGCTCCTCTGGGCATGTGCCTCGAGCGGGCTGCCCGTGCGCCGGCGGGGCGTCCTGGGCGAAGTTCACCCCGCGGCCGCCCCCGCGGGGCGCCGCGTGGTCGCCCCGCGCTCGCGGCACACGGCTGCCGCCGCGCAGGCTGTCCTCTGCTGAAGGGGTAGCGCAGGCTTGGCCCCCCTCTGGGGGCTGGGCGTATCGTCGCCGTGTGTTCGATTCTCGTGTGTACGTGCACGTACGGTTACGTTCGTTCTCGTACTTGTTCTGCGATGTCATGTTTGGTTCGAGATGCCAGGTATTATCATGCGCAGGAGGCCAGTACCACCCCCCCGCGTCGTCCCAGTCAAATGTTGCCGTGACGGCCCCACACGCGCGCACGAGTGTAATACCATATGTTTCCCAACATGCTCAACACACAAGCCAACAAACAAGCGTTGTTTCAACAACCAAGTGGCAGCTGTTTGCGCGCGTCGCTGAACTGATAAGGAAGCCTGTTTACTATTCAAACCAGATCATGCGGATCACACTCTCTCGCAAGTCGAAAGCATTCACAATCATCGCGCAACCACCAGTCCTTTTCAAACGATATAGTGCGGCCCGCACGCGCGCGTCTCCGCCCGCGCATGTCTGAATCATTATGAAGCAACCAGGCTTCTTACGCCCCCCAAGATAGAAGTGTTCAACATTTGCTTCAATGGCGCGCGCGCTTCCTCATCATCTTCGTCACTGACATTGTCATCATTAGCGCCAGCGCCATCATTACCATCGCCATCTTCATCATCTCTACCAGCTGCACCACCATCTCCATCACCATCGCCGTCGTCATCATTACCACTGTCGCCATCATCATCGCCATCTTCATTGCCGTCACACTCGCCATCAGCGCAAATCAGCGCCATCACGATCAACATCAACGTCGCCGTCACCATCATCATTCCCTCGTGCGAATCATAGATTTGCACGACAAGGCTCCTCGCGTCACTGCGCCAATTGAGTTTTGTCAGCAATTTGCAGGCAGAGGGCGCAGATGTTTGCTCGACCATTGGAGTAGACGTCGATGTGTTCAATATTAGTTGCGGTCCATATAATGCAACACGTAGAAACCATCCCGTGGATTCCTCCACACAGCTGGCACCGCACAGGATGCACCACACAGACGGCGCCCAGTAGTCTGCACCACAGCCATGTTGCACCACGTGTGCTGCAGATTGAGAGCGCAAGGGCATATGTGCTCTGCTGGGGTACACGCTGGCTAGATTGTCCCGGGCAGGGACAACTTACCGAGCTGCTTACTGTGCCCCCGGGTCGGGGGCTGAGCCCGCCCGCCTTCGGGGGCCGAGGCTCGTGGCACCGCCGAAGTCCCTGAGCACGGGCCTCAACGACTTGGTGGGCGAGATGCGCGAAGGCACTTCCAACAAGGCGTCGAACAACAAGCCGACCGCCGAGGAGAAGCGCCGCGATGTCCACACTGCCCTGGGGCCCAAGGCCCGCTTGCCCGACGCCTGTGGTTTCATTGTGGACGTTGGCCCCTCTTGCTCACTTGGGATGGATCGCCTCCCTCCCCCTCATCGCATTCGAGGACGATGACGAGGAGGAGGAATGGGAGGACGAGGAGGAGGAGGAGGAGGAGGAGGAGGAGGAGCAGGAGAAGTAGCAGAAAGAGGAGGAGTAGTGGGGTAGTGTGGATCCAGTTGGAGGAGGAGAGGGGGAATCAGGGAGGGAGGGGAAACTGTCGAGATGGGGCCCAGGCGCGGCCCTGTCAGCGACTTCGAGCGCACCTTCTCTAGGAGGAGGCGGCTTGACGAGGACTGCAAATTCTGCTGCCGCCCTGGATCCTTACCCCAAGAGTTCCCCAGAGGTCCCCAGATCCCCGGTGGAAGAGGCCGTCGGAGGCCCGTCAGCGGCCAACGACGTCAGAAAACCCTCTCCCTCGGTGGTCGAGGGCAAGGGAGGTAGGAGGGAGAGAGGAGGAGGTGAAACTCTGCGCCAGCAGATCAGGACGGGGAGAGGAGGAGGAGGAGGAGGAGGAGGAGGAGGAGGAGGAGGAGGAGGAGGAGGAGGGAGGAGGAGGAGGAGGAGGAGGGGAGGAGGAGGAGGAGGAGGAGGAGGAGGAGGAGGAGGAGGAGGAGGAGGAGGGGGAGGGCCGGAGCAAGGAGGAGGAGGAGGAGGAGGGGGAGGAGGAGGAGGAGGAGGAGGAGGAGGAGGAGGAGGAGGAAGAGGAAGGAGGAGGAGGAGGAGGAGGAGGAGGAGGAGGAGGAGGAGGAGGAGGGGGAGGGGCAGGAGCAGGAGGAGGAGGAGGAGGGAGAGAAGGAGAAGGAGGAGAAGGAGGATGAGGAGCAGCAGGAGGAGGAGGAGGAGGATGATGATGGTGATGATGATGGTGATGATGATGATGATGATGATGATGATGATGATGATGATGATGATGATGATGATGGTGATGGTGATGGTGATGGTGATGGTGATGGTGATGGTGATGGTGATGGATGAGGAGATGGGGAGGAGGAGGAGGAGGAGGAGGAGGAGGAGGAAGGGGATGCTGAGGGGAGGAGGAGGAGCTGGAGAAGGAGGAGGATTTGCAGGAGGAAGAGGAGGAATACGAGAAGCGGAATAACTCGCTCGCGGGCAGGGCGAGTCTCCGGCGTGGTTCAACGTGCGGGTTGGGCTCGTGTCATTGCTCATCGCATGGGCCTGGCTGACCATCGGCTACATCGTCGAGCTGTCGTTCCAGGGCACCAAGGCTTCCTTGTCCTTGGACTGCCTTTCTCTTCTCCCGCCCCTTCTCCGCATCGCCCTCCCCCTCCTCCTCCTCCTCCTCCTCCTCCTCCTCCTCCTTATCCTCCTCATCCTCATCCTCATCCTCCTTCTCTCCTCTCCTCGCCCTCCACCCTCGTCCTCGTCCTCCGCCCTCCTTCTCTCCTCCCCCTCCGCCCTCCCCCTCGTCCCTCTCCTCATCAGACCCCTGCGCTCATCAACGCCCCCGGCCTGCCGAACAACCTGCGGGACCCGCGCTACCGCCCAATCAAGCCAGGCAGCTAGCGCCTTTGGCGTCGTCGGTCGTAATCCTCGTTTCTCCACCTGGTAACCTCACGAGTTCGAGAGAGCATGCCATAATGTGAGAGAGGAGCTGCATACATATAGGTGATACGAATACAGAAATGTACATATAGAAACATATCTTAATGGAACGGGAGGGAGAGAGAGGGAAAGAGAGAGAACGAGAGAGTGAGATACATATAAATATAGCACAAGTAAGGAGATAGTTTCGAAATCAACAAATGAAGGGGGGAGAGAGAAAAGAGAGAGAGAGACATAGGCACACCATGAACACATATTCATGGAGTAATGTGCATGTGTTTACTATTCATGTTTAGAGAGGGATGTATAACGTAGGTTTATTTATTTGGACTCGGCTTGACCGCCAAGGCCGCCTCCCCGCACATCTCTTCAGTCCCTGCCGGTGGAGCCTCACGCAATGCAGATACCTGTAGCACACATCATGTCTGAAAATCGGGATTCCGAGCTGAGAGAGATCGCCTCTCCCCTGCAGGGCGGCCAGCACAGCATTGTTGCATTGGGTTCCCACGTCCCCACGAAAGCCGCGACCTCCCAGTCGCCGCTCCCTTGGGAGACACGGAGAGTGCACCCGCCTGCGCTCCGCCCGCACCCGCGCCACCCCCCGTCCGAGTGGGCCAAAGAATTGTGTGGCGCAGCTGACATCTCATCAATGCAAGGGTGGAGGCACAAGAGACCCTGGCCTGTATCTAAAACTGCATTACACAAACGATCAGCCCCCTGATTCTGGTCGCGGAGCCGCCACGAAACAGGAGCTTCGATCGGGTCCGGAGGTCTCCACCCATCGGTCGCGCTCTGGAGCAAACAACAAGCTAGAGGCGAAAGTTGGGCGAGCCGTTCCCACTGGATGAACGACGAGCCGCTGAGGGCTTGTGCCAAAGCTCCGTTATCGACAACAAACATGAAGACATGAGCGGATGACGAATCATCGGGCCAGGACGAATCGGAGGAAAGGAGAGGAGGAATGATATCAAGAAGGGGCGGCCCTCAGAAGCGAAGAAGGTGTCATCCCCGAAGTCTCAGTCGCCGGTGCCCGCCCCGCCCGTCGTAACGCCCGCTCGCTGCTCCGTGTCGCCGTGAAGAAGCCGACACCGTTTACAAGGTCGCCCTGCCTCCACCGTCCCCTCCTCCGCCTCCCTCTCGTTGGGCGCCCGAGTTATCCGGGGTAACTCGGGTCCGGGGTAACTCGGGTTTGGATTCCCGAAAAAACGAACCCGAGTTATCCCTGACCCGAGTTACCCCTGATGATTCGGGGCTGTGGGCGCCCGAATTATCCGGGGTAACTCGGGCCCGGGGCAACTCGGGTTCGGATTCCCGAAAAACGAACCCGAGTTATCCCTGACCCGAGTTACTCCTGATGATTCGGGGCTCTGATCTCGTCCTCCGGCTGCTTGCGTTCAGCGTGGGTCTCCCGTGGATCGCCCAGAGGAGGCGCAGCTAGCTTACGAAGCTGGTCACGATGGACGGACACATCTCTGTTCCAACCAGGAAGGTGCCATTTGATGCGAACGCGATCCATGAAGGGCCACTCCTGGTTTTTCCACTCCCCGGCGTCATTCATCACCTTGATTTCCCAATCAGGGACGGCTTCGTCCCAGAAGTCCTGTGGTTGCGGTGCAGGGGAACTCGGCCGGCGATACCGCCACTCGCCTGCGTCATCGCGGCGCAGACTGGGGGTCCAGGAAGCGCACACATGTGCCGTGACAAGGTGGCCACCTCTACGGTACAGAGACAGCTGGCGAACGGGGAACTCTGGTGCACCAGACTTGTCGGATCCCCAACTCCAATGCATGGACGCATACCTCAATCGATGAAGACGCTGGAGCCATTTATGGTGAACTTGAGGTACTGGCCAGAATGCAAAGCGGCCTTCGAGAAGACGCGCTGTGCGGTAGTTGTAGCCTTGCAGACTCTCCCCTGGCAAGAACTTTAATTTCAAAGCCCTTCGCAGATGGTTATCGTCCCAGGCACGCGCCTTCTGCAGACGTTCTTGCGTGGGTACCCAAGACGCGCAACCGTAGAGCAATGAGGTGGTGGCCCCTCTCGAGAATACCCAGACCTTTCCTTCCCAGCTGGCATTGGGATTATGAAGGCGTCGATGGATTTGTACAACGTTTCCCTCCGTTTTCAGAAACCGATGGTCCCAGGAAGCCACTGTATCCCCCGCCCTGGTCAGCATGGTGCCGAGTAGGACGGTTCGTCCACAACTGGGAACTGAAGAACTCCTTGCCCGTGCGTCGGCACTTCCATGACAGATGGCGGCTGATCGACTGCCATCCCGCAAAGCACTACACGTTCCTTCATCTTGATGCGGAAACCGTTCCTGTGCAGATCGCTGGCCGTGTCAGAACTCATCGTTTGGATTTGATCCGTCGTCCTTGCACACAGTATCAAATTGCCCGCCCAAACTAACTAGTTCACGCAGAGATCGTCGATGGGAGCACCCAGGCCGGTCGCTTCCCACTACCTGACGACGGGGCCGAGTATGTAAGTCAGAAGGCAATTGAAGAGCATGCGGGGTGTCTCGACTCCCCCTTGTCTCCCGGCCTTTGAGATAGGGGAACCTGCCACTAGCCCCGACTCCTGATATGTACATGTCCCCTTCGAGACCTGACAGCTCCCTCAAAATCGCCACCATCAGGGACGCCAGAATGCTCATTGATAGCAAGGCATCTGAGACAATTGATGCAACATAGTGTCGAACGCAAACACAATGTCCAGGAACGCGACACCATACGGGTGTTTCTTGAACTTTCTTGGGATGGCCAACGCCCTCCTGACGATATCCACCAGGTGCAACGTAGAACTCCCCGGAGTAAACCCAAAAGTCCTGAACCTAGTTTGCTGCGTGAAACGTCGACTTGCGTACCCCACAGATCGTAAGTACCACTTCTGCATATTCGGTGACTTGGCAACGTACCTCCGGGCGGAAAAAGCTTGGGGCCTGAGCTGTTTGGGCAACCCGGTGAGGTCCATGAGCTTCCAGAACTCCCCGTGCCTTCCCCGTGGCGAACTAGCCCGTGAGCTTAATGGGCAACTCTACGACGACGAGGAAAGGCAGGATCTTGAGCATTCCGCCCGCGACCCCGTCCCTGGCAGGCGCTGTGCCGGTGGACATGGCGCCCCGGGCAGGAATTCCACGAGGGTGAACCGAGTGGGCCCGCCACGACGTCTGACGTGGTTGTCCTGAGCTTCACTGATTGCAGTCGTCTCTCAACGCATCGTTCGTAAATCCTGATCTGTGTCGCCACTGCCAGCATCGTAGTAGCGGTCAGCACCGAAATGCCGTAACGATCCTGGCCACCAGGAATGGTCTGCGCAGAAGTCGCCAAATACGGGCTGGTGGGCAACAGGCACGGGAATCCCAAGAGGGAGCCGGGTGGACATCCCCCCCCTGCCTTGGGTTGACGAGGGTGAGATCCTGATCACCCCAGAGCCGCCTGCGTCCCTTGTTAATCTGATTGTACCTGCGTCGCATCGTTCGATCGATCACCCCGCGCATCGAGTCGGATCGGATGCGTAACAATAGAGACTTCTCCTCGGCAGAAGTTGCCGGCCCAACCAGAGTCTGATGTACGTGTACGAGTTTAGATGTATACAGTGATGGCCGTCCACCTGCGCTGAAGCCTTGGCATCGCACTGGGACGAGACATGTGGCACTCGCGTCATCCGCTGTCCGTGTCCCTTTCCCTCTTCGGGATCTGCTCTTCTCCCACACACGTGATGAACAGCAATGTATAGATCGACAGAGGGAGAGAGAGAGAGAGAGAGAGAGAAAGAAAGAGAGAGAGAGAGAGAGAGCGAAGGCGAACGAGAGGCAATCCGGTATGGCACATACATATCCAGGTGTTTGCAGCCAGTCCCGCAGCCGTGCCAGCCCAGCTTTATATGGGTGGCGGCTGGTCGATGAGGGCACGGGAGGCCGTCACGTGTGACATTTCGTGTCTCCAGGCTTGTCAGAGCCGTGATGAGAATGATGAGATTTATGAGGATGATGGGGGCGATGATGATGATGATGATGATGATGACGATGATGATGATGATGATGATGATGATGATGATGATGATGACGATGACGATTACGATGATGATTATGATGATGATGATTATGATGATGATGATGATGGCGATGCTGCTGATGATGATAATTATGAGGATGCTGATGCTGCTTATGATGATGGTGGTGGTTGTGATGATGATGATGATGATGATGATGATGATGATGATAATTCGAATGCTGATGATTACGATGGCTTTGACGATGACGATGACGTTGATGATGCTGCTGCTGATGTTGGTGATGCAGCTGCTGATGATGCTGACGGTGATGGTGATGCTGATGCTGGTGGTGATGGTGATGTTGAGGATGAGGATCAAGTTGAGGATGGGAATGAGGATGGTGATGATGATGGCGTTTGTGATGATGATGATGATGATGATGATGACGATGATGATGATGATGATGGCGGCGATGACGATGATGACGATGACGATAACGATGACGATTATGAGGATGCTGCTGTTGATGATGGTGGTGATGATGATAATGCTGATGCTCATGGTGACGATGGTGATGGTGATGATTGTGATGGTGGAGATGCTGGTGCTGATGAGGATGATGATTATGATGTTGTTGATGCTGATGATGATGATGATGGTGATGATGGTGATACTGATGCTGATGCTGATGATGATGGTGATGATGGTGATACTGATGCTGATGATGATGATGCTGATGGTGGCGATGACGATGGCAATGACGATGACGATGACGAATCTGATGATGATGATGCTGATGACGATGGTGGTGTTGGTGATGATGATGATTCTGATGCGGACGATGGTGATGGTGATAATGGCAATGGTGATGATGATGCTGCTGATGGTGGATATGATGATGATGTTGATCACTTTGTCGCGACTGATGATGATGATGATGGTGGCGATGGTGATGAT